AATTTTTATTATTATTTTAGAGAAAGAGAGAGAGCGGGGTGGTGGGAGGGGCTGAGGGAGAGAATCCCAAGTGAACTCTCCACTGAGGGGCCTCAGTCTCACGACCCTGAGATCATGACCTGAGCCGAAATCAAGAGTCAGATACTTAACTGACTAAACTACCCGGGCACCCTGAGACCATCTCCTTTAGATTGAGCAAGAAGATAACTGAAATCCAGATGGAGCATTTACTATTTTGCCACTGAGCCTACACCTTAAAAAGTAATCTTTGCAAACGGACTCTGGTGTGCTCTGGGAAGAAAACAACAGGAAAGAGAAGGAGAGCTGCCTCAAATGAGCAGTACCAGCGAAGGTTAGCAGAAGACTCTCCATTTTACATCAACAGTGACATTCTTTTCCTTTGCAGATCCAAATTCCTTCATGCAATTTTCGAGCCAAACAAATGGGGAGGGGACTCACGGGCTCCAGTTTGCTTAACTAATTTGTTCCATCTGGGTTTATTATCCGTGTGTGTTTCCTCACCAACATCCCAGCCAATCTCCATCACAATGCATGGAATGAGCATCATGCTCATGGAAGGCAAACCTTGACAACAGTTAGGGAAGGACCAAGATCAAAGGGCTGGGTGAGAACCAAGAGCAGTCCTGTCAAGATGCCTTAACTCAGATTTGCAGAGTCCTGCACTACGGACCCTGGCTTCCCTGAAGCAAGAAAATGACACGGTTCAAGCAGCTGGATCACCACCACCAGGATGGCCTCCCGCTGGCAACCTCACTAATGTCTGACTTTGCACATCTGTTCTAAAAACACTCACCAGCACAGGCTGTGAGGCAATCCTGTCTAGCTGACCTGGCTTTGGCTGGGAAATTACAAGAGTGTTAATGACTGGTCGAGGTCATACTGACCCTCCGAAGACCGACACTCATGTCATTAGAGCCATCATCACTGGGACCTTATTCAGCATAGGATAGCTGGAGAAGCTGACCCAAGTGAGCCCAAGTAGAAGGGACAGCAAATACACGGTTCCTCTTCACTCCCCCCAGCCCAGTCCTCATGGGCTGACCTCCCCCAGTGGATATGATTTGGAGGGGGAAGAGGGTAACTTTTTAGAAATGAACGGTTGCAGTTGGACAGGCTTGGGTTGGCATCTCCGTTTTAACATTTATGTGCTGTTGACCTTTGCCAAATAATATGGATCTCAGTTTTCTCATCTGTAAGGGGAAGTAATTAAGTCTGACTTCATACATCATGAAGAGGGGCGATGGAAAGTGCCTGGGACATAATAACACCTCAAGGTCAGGAACCATCTCTTATTTGTCGTTAAGCACCTGGCACACAGTAGATCCCTGATAAATATCTCCTGAATGGATAGCCCCAAGACTAGCCCCCTTCCCTTAACTCTGTACGCCATGCCATTCGGTTGTGAGATGGAAAAATCAGTAAAGAATTTTTCCTGCTGTGCCTTTCCAGAGTTAAACCTGCTTCCTCTTAGGAGTTGCACATCAGAAGAGAGCTTCAAAATCTTGTCAGATAAAGGAGGGCTTTATAGAGCAGAACTCCCGAGAAAGTGTTCTGCATAACAATACACCCACAGCTTTTAACAGAGCACTTTCCTCCAATTCCTTGTCGATTCATTAAACTGACAGCTTGCCACCAGCATATTGATGCCTGTTTTCTATCTAACAGAAGCTGTATGAGTGCCTTGTGTTTAACCCACTCTATAAATTTGTAAGCAACTATATAAAAACAAAAAACTCAGAAAACAAAGGAAAGATGCTGGGCTGTTATTTCACTCAAAAACAATAATGACGGGGCGCCTGGGTGGCTCAGTGGGTTAAATCCTCTGCCTTCGGCTCAGGTCATGATCTCAGGGTCGTGGGATCAAGCCCCACATCGGGCTCTCTGCTCAGCGGGGAGCCTGCTTCTTCCTCTCTCTCTGCCTACCTCTCTGCCTACTTGTGATCTCTGTCTGTCAAATAAATAAATAAAATCTTAAAAAAAAAAAAAACAATAATGACTACCTCTTTTCTGTATTCCTCCCACTCTCATTGGGTATATTGGGGTTTGGGTTGTTTTCCCTTTGCTCAAAGAGTTTGAATTGCAGCAGCTTCTTCTCACCCTTTAAAGAAGGCTGTGTCTTAGGCCAGGGGCACTGATGGTACCAGTCCTCCCCCAAAATAAGGAGCTTGAGCCAAAAGGTAAATCAGTGCACTGCTTCCTTCTTTAAAAAGTCTGGCTATGAAAAAAATAAAAGTCAGCTCAACTAAACAGTGTGTTTAGTGCCAAAGCTGATGTACATTCTGGCACGATCTCCTTATGGACAGCTAACAGAGCTCCCAGACTGACACCACGAGGGGATCACACTTCAAGAAGCATAGTTCTTGGTTACAGAACATCCCATCTGCCTGACAGTGTACTGGACCGACCTTTACAATGGACTTCTGAGGGATTTTAGGCCACCTAGTATCCTAATCCCTTCTTTTGGTGAAGCATCCTGGTATCAAGGATCTGCCAGCCCCGCTCTCAGTGTATGGGATCCAGGCAGGACCCTGTCGAGCAGGGCTGGCCAAACAGTGCTGTGAGTCTCTGCAGCCACAGTGAGTGGTCCAGGAACACTGGGACCCAGGGCTGACCAATCAGCATAATTCCATCTTCCTGGTGAGCTTTCAGACCTGGGAAGGACGGTGGTCCTACTGATGTGTTCAGAGTGAATCCTGAGATTCCTGCAAGAACTACAAGAACAGTCTCCTGCCATCAGACTTCATGTTGTGAGGATGTGAGCCTAGAGTCAACAACACCCGTGAGGGGAGAGCCTGGCTGTGGAATGGAGCAAAGATAGCGCAGAACTGAAAGACAGAGAGACAAAACTGGGTTCTGAGAACGTCACTGGACCCCCTGGATCAAGCCTTGCCTGATTTACAGCTTTTCAATTCTAGGAACCAGTTCATTTCCTTTTTGCTTAGAATAGTTTATGAGCTTTCTATAACTTGTAACTAAAAGAGTCTAAAGTTACGCCTGACTGCTCTACCGTGGGCTATTCTAAAATCCACATACGCTGGCCCTAAAGAGACAAATTTGAAAAGGTGAAAGGTCTGGAGTCAGGGGAGCTGCCACGAGCTGGGGCTAGAGGCATGTTACCAAGACTTTCCACACCTGAGTTCTTCCTCTGTCAGGTGATTAGCGTCTGCCTCTTCCTCTGCCTGTCAGGTGACTGAGAATCACATAAAAAGGTACAGAGGAAATCACTATGGAAACATACAAAAAAGCACTGTACAAACAAAAAATACTGTTATTATTAGCACAACAATAGTTATTCAAACTTCAAAATCCCATAAGAAATTTTCAAAGCCTTTGAACAAGAACACATTGTTTTTCAAGTGAACGAACATAGCGGGTGAAAAGAAGAGAGGCAAACCAAGAAACACTCTTCACTATAAAGAACGCACTGCTGCTTACCCGAGGGGAGGAGCCTGGGGGGACGAGTTATATCGGTGATGGGGATTAAGTTGCGCACCTTTTGTGACGAGCACCAGGCTGCTGTATGAAGTGTTGAATCACTAAATTCTTCACCTGAAACTACTACTACTATGGATGTTAACTAAGTGGGATTTAAATTAAAACTTTGAAAAAATGCATTGTTTTTATCAACACCTGTGTTCTGCTCTACGAGGGGGAGCGCCCTCTGCAGGCCAGAGGGTGTTAAAGCGAAGCCGCAGTCAGGGAAGTGGACAGAAAAGAAGGGGCAGCCGAAGCCAGTGCAGGTCTCCGGCTCTGGGCTGAGCACAGTTAAGTGCCGTGGGTCATTTCTGGGGCCCACCCAGGACGTTTCTCCCCCATGGGATACATCATCCGATGACTCAAGCTTATGAATCACAAAAGAAAATTTATGATTTAATCACCACTAGTAACTCTTAAGCACTATTTTGCAAACTTCAGGGTTATCCTAACAATAATACTGTTGTGCAGGTAGGCGGATTTGGTGTTTGTTTTAATGTTTCCATATATGAGACCTAAGGGTCCAACATAACACCAGACTTTGCATAAAAAGACTAAACTGTTGCACAAAATTTGCATTTTTCCAAAAGTCAGAACCCAATCCTTTTCTGATAAAGACAGTATGAGCAGTCAGGGTACAAGACAGAAAGAGGTATTACTGGCTTTTAAACCTCATTCTGAGTCTCTGGTCAATGGCAGTATCAACGGATTCTCTTTTGATAGAAAAAATAATAACCCAGTTTTTGTATTTTCATATAAGGTAATTGGAAGAAGTTTATTTTTTTTAAAGATTTTATTTATTTATTTGACAGAGAGAGATCACAAGTAGGCAGAGAGGCAGGCAGAGAGAGAGGGGGAAGCAGGCTCCCCGCTGAGAAGAGAGCCTGATGTGGGGCTCGATCCCAGAACCCTGAGATCATGACCTTAGCCGAAGGCAGAGGCTTAACCCACTGAACCACCCAGGTGCCCTGGAAGAAGTTTATTCTTTACAGTTCCCTCCTTTGAGGAGCTCAAACCTGGGCAGCTGAGGTGGGAGAACAGGGGACAGTTGTTTTAATAGTGTCCCCATGGACTGGGTACCAACACCGTGCCAGGCATGTACAGGGCTACTGAGCCCAGCACTCCCCAGTCCATGTCACCAGCAGGCAGGGTTACAGTTCCTCAAAAGCAAGGAGCAGGCTGAGCCTGCTCTCCCTGCTCCCGAGGACAGCCTGTATCAAGGCAGAGTGGGCTGGCCCTGTCTGTGTCAGGCTCCATCAAAATCACCTTCTCTCCCCCTGCGTCTCCATCTACACCTCTTTGTCTTATAAAACAATTTGGCCCAAGCCTGTTATCTGGTCATCCTCAATTCAGGGAGAGGGGTAAAAGGCCCCACACTGTTCTCCAATCTAGATGTACAATTATGAAAGTTGTTTTGTCCCCTATTGATCTAAGCTGCAAAAAGTTAAAAAGCAAAGGGGAGGAGGAAAGAGAAACTGTCTCTCTAAAAAGTCTCTAACACTTACCAGTTTGGATAGTGCCCTGGAACCAGCATAGATTATACCCACAAACAACACGGAAGCAGGAAGCCAAGTCCAAACATCAGATCTGGGAAGAGGGAAAGAGGCCGTCAGATTTCTGTCACTTCCTGTCCGAAAGACCTAGTTGCAAGGCATGACCCTTCAGATGCACCAAATATGACAACGGTCCTTGTCTTAACATCTCTGGGCAAGCTGGGAAGTGTGACCCGTCTGTGTCCCCTGTGAGTGAGGGAGGCTGACAGAGCTACCCAGCTACCGCATCTGCTTCCCAGCCCACAACAGGGCATAGACAAGCTGGAGATAGAAGACAGCTTCCAGCAGTTTGGGAGAGAAAACGGATCTGATTTTTTTTTTTTTTTTTTAAGGGGCAGTGAACATTATTCTTTGGATTTTAAGAAGCCAGAGGCTTTGAACTCATGCCAAAGTATTAAGAATGTAAAAAGACTATTTACCTAGGCAATATACCTAACAGCTCCATGGAACCACAACAAAAGGAAGAAAGTGTCAAAGGACAGAATTCTAAAAAACGAATGCTAAGGGTGCCCACGTGCTGACGCTTTCCACCATTAACCTGGAATCTCTAAGGACTTCTGAAGGGTGCATTTCTTTTATTCAGTTGTGGCCACACCCAAAACTGCTTTTCTCAGTACAGTTTAGAATCATGCGTTCTTCCAAAAAAGCAGTATTCTGGTTTTTGCGTAAAGCACCAATCATTTGCTGCCCCCATCCATCACCAACACGGTCGGTCCGCTAATGCTAGTTCCGTAGAGTTATTCTAATAATAGACAGAAATAAATGAGACCGATCCAGCAGAATTTAACATAATAACCCCAGCTAACTCAATGAACTGCTCTCCTGGGATGGTCCCTGCTCGAGAAATGTTCTTTGTTAACTTTATTAGCACGGACAGGCACTCTATCTGTGATCAGACCCGCTTTTGTACGCTTCCCAGTCAACCTAGTGTTCAACTGTCTCTAGTCTCTAGTGAGGCTTCTGAACCCTACTTCCTGAATATATTCGTTCAGCAAATATTTATAGCAACTTGCAAGGTGCTGACAGCACCAGAATTACTGTGAACAGGAGGATCACAGGTAACATTTTTGATCACTTGTTACAAACGAGGCACTATGCTGAATGTTTTCTATGCTGTGTCTTTAAAAAATCCGCACAACATGGGGTGCCTGGGTGGCTCAGCCAGTTAAGCATCCAACTCATGATCTCAGCTCAGGTCTTGATCTCAGGGTTGTGAGTTCAAGCTCCGTGTTGGGCTCCACAATGAGCATGGAGCCTACATTAAAAAAATAAATAAGAGGGCCCCTGGGTGGCTCAGTGGGTTAAAGCCTCTGCTTTCGGCTCAGGTCATGATCCCAAGGTCCTGGGATCGAGCCCCGCATTGGGCTCTCTGCTCCACAAGGAGCCTGCTTTCCTTCCTCTCTCTGTGCCTGCCTCTCTGCCTCTCTCTGTGCCTGCCTCTCTGCCTACCTGTGATCTCTGTCAAATAAATTTAAAAAAAAATTTTTTTTTTTAATAAATAAATAAAATCTGCACAACCACCTTAGGAAGAAAATGTTATTATTATCCCCCTTGTGCAAATGAGAACACTGAGGCATAAAGAATTTAATAAACGTGCCTGTGGTCAGAAGAGCTGGTAATGGCAAAGACAGAATTTGAATTCAGGTCATCTGACTCTAAAGCCCTAGCTTTAAGCCACCCTTTCATTCTCTGCCCTCAAGGAGCTCATAATCTCATGGGAGACACTGACCTATAAATAAATAAGCTGCAAACACAGCATGATTTTGCAGACTGAGCAGCTAATTCCTGAGGAGTATTCTCTGTTCTTCCTGGTCCTGCTGCAATAAGAGAGGTCTGCACTTGCACCCAAAAGGGGAACAGAGAAAGGAAGATGCCATTCTCCATCCTCATGTGTCAAGCAGAACATCAAATCAATTGCTATTCTTCTAGGAAATGGCTTTCCCATTAGATATTAAGATCACAAGGGTCAAGGGAGACAGGTTCCAGGCCCCTGGCCTGCAGTGCACCAGAAGGCAGCCCACAGTACACACCGCAGGGAGCACGGGGGAGGTGGGGAGGGGGGCAGTGTGTGACACAGTGGGGTGCCCAGCAGCCGCAGGCCCGGTACTCTGGGACCTGAGCTCAGTGAGGCCCCAGGCAGTGCTCTGTTCCCTCTTAAACAAAGAAAATGCCTCCCCAGTCATATGCTCCAAGAGACATCCGGGCATCTGAGTGACCATGAATGTGAAAAAGAAAACACAGCTAGTAGACATCTTATATTTTAACCCTCTATCCTAAAAACAAAGAAATGACTTTAACTGGGGCCCATCGGTGGTTCAGTCAGTTAAGAGTCTGCCTCCACTTCAGGTCATGATCTCAGGGTCCTGGGATCAAGTCCCACATCGGGCTCTTTGCTCAGTGGGGGGCTTCTCCCTCTGCCTGCCGCTCCCCCTGCTTGTGCTCTCTCTCTCTCTCTTGCTCTCTCACAAATAAATAAATAAAATATTAAAAAGAAAGAAATGATTTTAACTATAAAAAATAAACACAGATCCAGTTGGACCAAAGAGACTTCTGGGAAATGTTACAGAGCAGCTGTGTGAGCATTTGGATGGAAGCATGGCATGTGACCCAGGCGCCGGGGCTTATGTTCTCCACAGTCCTCTCATTCGGGGCCCACCTCCGAGGTGGACAAAGCCAAAGCAACGTGCACTGATGGCGGAAATTTGGAGACCTGCAGAAGCAGCTGGTTGCCTGACCCCGTCTTGGCCCCCATGAGCTCTCTTCAGAGACAGCTGCCTCCCTCCTCCGCACACCAACAAAAAAGCATAGCTGCTGTAGAGAAGAATGAATACGAATCACTGGGGACGGTGTTACCAAAACAGACACAGGCAGAACCAGTGTGAAAGGATGGGGTGGTGGGAGAAAAAGAATTAAAAATCGAGAAGAATTCTGCATTCACATTGTTCCAAAGTATCAAAGTTCTCATTCCACTGAAAATCACAGGGTATACATTAAGTGCAGTTTATACAAGAAAACACTCAAGGGAACCCAGCAGACAATCCCATACACCAAGCAAAAGCCTTCCCATGAGATTAGCAAATGAATGAACATTTATACATCTTAAGTCAAAATAGATTGTTTCATCCAAAAATGCTTTCTTGACTTATCTTTCAATTAACCCATTAATGATCAGAGTCAGATAATATAAAACATATATATAATATTAACATGTCTCTCACCTCTCAAATAAACTGCAAGTTTCACAAAGGTGGGAGCCATGCATGTTTTGCTCATATAAATAAATGTCAAATATTACACGGATGAAGGTTTTAAGGAAACTAAAGGACTAAGCTGCACCATAAGGGCACCTGATTCAGTGTCAGTGAGGACAGGGAATACTTTCTCTAATAAGTGACATTTGAGGTAAAACTCAGAGTTAAAGTGAGTGCAAGGGGTGGGGCAGAGAAGCAGAAGGGACCCAACATTCCCCCCTTGGTCCGTTACTCACAGCAATAAAAGTCTCCTAAGGTTTTGGTTAGGCTTTGTCACAAGTTTGTTCTTTCCTAACTCTTCATTCCCAAATTCTTTGCAACACTGATCTCACTTAATTTACACACCAGCAGGAGAACCAGACAGACTGGCAGTCAAAGATGTGCACATTGCCTCCCTCCCAGAGAGAACCTGCCGCAAGGAGTCTAGGCCGCTGACAGGTGAACATCACTTGAAGAACTGTTTGCACTTGCTGCTTCAGAAATCAGACCTGGGCTCTCTGGCTTACAGGGTTCTCCATGACTATCCACTACTGTGCTACTCTAAGATGGACAGGTCAGACCTTTCAACAGTTACTTGGGGCAAATAAAGGGCAAGACAACTGAGTTTTCCATGTTTTTCCAGGTTGTGCGGAAACAAGGTGGGAACAAGGACTACAAGGGTGGTGCTTTTCTGTGCTTTTGCCATCTCTTGAAATATTTCTTTCTTTTTTTTTTAAAGATTTTATTTATTTATTGGACAGAGAGAGATCACAAGTAGACAAAGAGGCAGGCGGAGAGGGAGAGAGGGAAGCAGGCTCCCTGCTGAGCAAAGAGCCCGATGCGGGACTCGATCCCAGGACCCTGAGATCATGACCTGAGCCGAAGGCAGCGGCTTAACCCACTGAGCCACCCAGGCACCCGAAATATTTCTTTTTTAAAGACTTGTTTGACAGAGAGAGAGCGTGAGTGCAAGCACAAGTGGGGGGAGGGGCAGAGGGAGAAAAGAATCCCAAGCAGACTCCCAGTGGAGCCCAATGTGGGGCGGGATCCCAGGACCCTGAGATCATGACCTGAGCCGAAATGAAGAGTTGGTCACTCAACTGACTGAACCACCCAGGGGCCCCTTGAAATTTTTTTTTTTTTTTTTTATATTTCTTCAGGACAAAATTAAACTATAATTTAAAAATCCTAGTTAATGCTGCTAAAATGGAGGACTATTTTCCAGGGAAATAAAGCAGTAAGGATGGAAATCATACCTGGTTCTGGGCACTGAAGAGTATAACCTTATAACATGCACATGGTTACCCAAATCTTTGGGAATTATAATCAGCTCTCTTCACTGTCAAGGAATGTTCCTGCAGTTAGCTAACATTAGCCGAGAGTTCTAAGGGAGGGACAAACTTCATACATTTCTCTGGGCTGTGCCCTTTCTTCTAGGTGAGGTCCTCTAGGGCTGGATGTATCTCGGGCTTACTAGGTCACTAGACGGGGGGCAGAGGAAGGGTGCACAAGTCCTGAGCAGTGCATGGCACAACGACACTCAATAAATGTTCTGGGTCTTTCTACACATAACCCCAAAGACAGAAACCACTAGGGAAGATTGACAGACAGATCCACCTGCATAAAATGCACTGGTCAGAAAACACCGTAAAGAAAACCAAGAGATGATGAATGACCTAGGAAAAACTCCTGACAGCATATAAAACAGGCTGGAATTTCATATTCTTTTTTTTTTATATTTTATTTATTTATTTGACAGACAGAGATCACAGGTAGGCAGAGCGCAGAGAGGCAGCCAGAGAGA